TTCCTGTTCCTCTGATGCTGATTGGCCTGCTGTGTTCATCCAGCTCTACACCTTGTTATCTCAGATTCTCCAGCATCTGCAGTTCCTACTATCTCTAAAATAGAAGGCTTTGTTTGAGTAGGACTGAGCCGACATCTACTTGCAGACACAAATTCCCATCTAATCCACCCATTTCCAACTTTAACTGAGGCTAGAAAATAACCGACACAATCCAATTAAGGGATTGATATTGTAGATATGGTAATGAGGCTACCTAGCTTGTTGTCATTCTGCTTTTTAAAGTGAACTTCTATCTTCAACTTTCCTGTCCATCAGACATTCCAGCTGCTTCATCGTAGTGCGGATTTGATGGAATCAAGAGCTTACACACCAATCTCCTGGATCCAGATGCCTACTTGAAGATCCTTTATGATCCACGCTCCCCAAAGACTTTCTACACATTTTCCAACCTTCCCTCCAATCAACCAAGCTCAGATCCTGCCCACCCCCCAACTCCATCATCCCCAAGTCCAACATTGTACCTGCCCCTCTCAGACATTTCATGTACTCCCCAACCCCCATCTTGATGCCCAGGACCTGCAGACACCATCATCACAAAAATCCACAAAATATCCCCCTCCTGTTGACCCACTGATCCGATCAACATCTTCCTGATTCGCCCCCAATCTCACCATCATTTATATACCTCTTATTTCTCTAATTAAAAATTCTGAATACATTTTTTTATTAAGTCACAGGATATGGGTATTGTGACATGGCCAGTATTCATTTCCTATCCTTAAATTCCCTTGTCATGGCGATAGTGAGCTAACTTCTTGAACAGCTGCAGTCCATTTGAGGTGGGCGTATTGAAGGGAGTCCAGGATTTTAAGCCGGCAGCGCTGAAGGAGCAACAGCAGTGTTCCAACTCAGGATGGCAGATGGTAGTTTCCCCGTGGATCTGCTGTCCTTGTCCTTTTAATGGCTGTGGCTTTGATGGTGTTGTTGAAAAGGATTTTGGGAGTTATTGCAATACGTATGCAGCTTCCAGGCACTGGTACTGGAGAGAATGAGTTCTTATACTAAGATGGCGGCGCCGGTACAGTAGATAGTGTTCAGGCTCCTGAGTCCATCCACTCCAGGCTGGCTGCATCTTTCTCTCTTTCACTCCTTTCTCATCTTTCTCTTTCTCTTTATCCTTTTCTTCATCTTCTGATGTCGTGGGGGATCTGGAGCAATGTCAGTGGGTCTTCGGCTGCATTAGATGCAGTACCCGCAGTGGGAATTCTTGGCAGAGGTGGCAGGTCATTATGGGGCATGCGATATCCTGAGTGGAGACTCCTTCCTATGGTAGGCCTGACATGTGGGCTCTTAGTGGGGTTGACGTTGCTGCACCTGGGACACCTTGCAGAAGCCCTGGAGCTATGTTCGAAAACCCCTTGCGCAGAAGATGAACTTTATTTATGTAACTTCTTTTTATAATGCAAAATGGTGCCATATTGTGGCGACAACACACTTTTCACTGTATCATTCTAGATATATGTGACAATAAATAGATAACTCAATAAAGCAGTGCCTGGGGTGCAAATCAAGTGGTCTGTTTTGTCCTAGTTGGTTTCAAGCCTCTTGCGTGCTGTTGGAGCAGCACTTATCCAGGTAAGTGGAGAATATTCCATGACACTTCTGGCCAGTGCCTTGCAGATGATGGACAGACTTTGATGAGTATGGAGATATGTTAGAACATAGAATACAGAACAGTACAGCACAGTACAGGCCCTTCAGCCCATGATGTTGTGCCGACCTATTATCCTACTAAGATCATGTTGCTGTGAGACCATCAGATATAGGAGCAGGTTTAGGCCATTCAGTCCATTGAGTCTGGTCTGCCATTCAACAATGGCTGATATGTTTCTCAAACAGCCTTCTCGTCATAACACACAATCCTCTTTCTATTCGCCGTGGTATTTCAGTCTCTGAACCGCTCTTATAGCCACAGTACAGATATGGAAAACTTTGTTCAATTTCTGGTCAATGGTAAGCTCTGGAAGTTGTTTGTGGTGGAGTGTGGAGCTAGTAGGTGAGCCAATCACGGTAAAATGTCCAAGTTTTAATTTGCTCTTGCAGGTACAATATTTATGTAGCTGGTTCTATTAAGTTTTAATGGTGAGCTTCAACATGTTCATGATAGGTATTTGATGACAGTAATGCCATTGAAGGTCAGGGTAAGTGGTTAGATTCTCTCTTGTTGGTAGTAGATATTGCATGGCACTGCTGTGGTGTGAATGTTACTTGTGGAAATTTCCTATTGATGTGGTTCTCTTTGTGCTGTCTCTAAATGCTGTGCCAGACTGACTGAAATTCAAACATTTCTACAGTCTAAACATGCCCCTAAATTGCTTCTCCTAGTTGGAAAACACCAAGAATTTATCAAAACAATGTTACAAACACTTAAAAAATTTTATAATCTGGTAGTGTTTCCACAAAACAAGTTAAACCTCAGCTCACTAGATATTTGCATAGATGATGAAACAGGCTGAGTAGATTTATAGCAACAATAACATAACCAAGTGAACAAATAAAAAGCCAGAAAAATAACTTACCAAATTTCTTTTTCCAAGCAATCCATTCCAAATCTTCAACAGAGAGAGTGTTTGCTAATGCCACAGTAGCTGCTAAAATCACAAACTTCATTCTACATTGAAAGGTTTATGTATTAATTAGCTCAAAGTTTGGAAAGCATACAAATTGAAATTTGGGTGCTTGTAAATATTTTCTAACCAACCTGTTCAGCTGTAGGATAATCGAAACTGACTAAATATTTCTTACCTGTGGATGCCTTTTTACCAAAGATCTATTGAGGCTAGACTTCAGAAACTAAAACCTCAAATGACAGAATCAAGAAAATGCACAGACTTTTTAAATGCTTGCCTAACTGACAGTCATGAAGTTTTTTTTTCGCTTACTGACAGAAAAAAAGAGGAAATGTGGGTGTTTCATCTCAAGACACAGTTAACTTATGCATGACAGAAATATCCCCAGAATTGAACTTTTTAATTGTTTAGGAATTTCAGTAGTCAATTTCTTGTTTAAGGGAAGTCACACATTCTATTCATCAATGAAACAATACAGAGAAAATGTCTTAATTGTGAAAAACACAACTTTATTTCAAGCAAAAGTCTTTATTAAAACTGCCAATATGTATATTTTCTTACAATGGTTGATTTACAGTGCCATGTGTCAGTCAAAATATATTAACACTTAAAATGAAACTTGATGTGAGTCAAAAATAGTAACAAGAACAAAACGATTTCTCGGCATTCAGGAAGCAAGTATTGCTGATTTAAATATTACCTGTTCACATGTTACTGCTAGCAAGAGATGGTTAAATGTCAAACTTGTCTGACTGAAACATCTTTTTGCTTTGAGATTGATATCAAGAAATTGAGGTTAAGACAGAACATGAACCTTCAAATGTTTTTTTTCTTCCTGATATTGCGTAAGATAACAGAACGGAGTCCTAAATCTTGCTGTTCTTGTAAATACCGCAATCCCTTTCACCTCTCTCTTCCTGCTAAAACAGAGGCATAAAATGTGACCAGGTGACCCACTTTCAATGACGATCACGCATGGATGTGACATAAAGTTGACTGGAGAAGAAACAAGATAAATCTATGGGACAGAGTGATGTTCTACTGCTGTACTTTGTGGAAAGGAGAAACAGATTGTGGGGAGGTGTTGGTTTAGTGGCAAAACCAGTGGATTAGTAATCCTGATGCCCATGTTAAAGCTCTGGGCACAGGTGTTTGAATCCCACCACACCAATTGGTGGTATTTAAATATAATCTGGAATCAAAATCTGGTCTCAGTGATTGTGATGATTAAACAATCATTAAATGTCAATACAAAACTGTCTACTTCATTAATATCCTTCAGGGAAGGAAATCTGGAATCATCACCTGGTTTGTCCTACACATGAGTCCAGACCCACAATTATATAATTGACTCATCTCTGCCCCCTGCAACCTTCAAGCAAGCCACTCTGTTCAAGAGCCATTTGAGGCCATCAACAACTGCAGGCTTTGGAAAGGGTGCTCATATCCCATGAAACAATGTTTTTTTTAGTAAGAGACAGCAACTGGATAGGCTGTTATAAAGTAGGAGTTAATTCTGTTCTGGCATCTATTTAAATATTGTTTGTCTCCTAACTAAACCAATTGTCATATTTACAACATTGCATGTGGCTTTCATTTTATCTTCAACGGGGGCTTGGATATGTTGGACAAGATTCAGTGAAGAGCAACCATGATAAATCTCAATTAGTTTGTCAAAACAACCTTTGCTCATTTTACACAGCTCACCAGAAAGACTGACTATTAAATGTATGTCATACGCTACTAAAACAGTGCTATTACTGTCAAATCTTAGGTAGGCTTGAATTTTAAAAAAGTGCCACATTCAAAGTTTTTGGAATGAAATAGTTCATTGGTTTTATTTGATGCTCAACCCAACCAAAGACTTTGAGTTGATTGTTAGAGAGAAGGTTGCATAGGATCCAGTAAAATTGGCGACTCCTCGGATACTGATGCAGTCCGTACCTGGATATAGCAAGACTTAGACAGGATTCAGACTTGGACTAACATGGATCAAGTAACAACCGAAAGAACTGTGGTTGTTGTAAATCAAGAATAAAAATAGGAGTTGCTAGAAAAACTGAACAGGTCTGGCAGCAGCTATGAAGAAAAAAAATCGGATTTAACGTTTCGGGTCCTGTGTCCCTTCCCCAGAATGTGTCAAAGTAATGTTTTATCCGGGCAACGCTCATCTCCAACAGTAGGAAATCCAATCACCTCACCTTGACTTTCAATAGAGTTGCCATTACCTCTGTCAATCCCCCATCATCAACATCACTTCAGGTTACTGGAACTGAGCCATAAAAATGCTGAGGTTTCATGTGCAGGTCAGAGCCTAGAAATTTTGGGGTGAGTACCTCACTTCCTGATTCACCAAATCTGTCTAACGAATACATGACACAAATCAGGAGTCAAATGGAATACTCTCCACCTGCCTGGAGAAGTGAAAATTCAAAATCACTCATCCCAACAGACTTAACACCAACCAGGTCAAAGCAAATGAGTTGATTGACACTCACCTTAAGCTTTCACTTCCTCTGCACCAAGTCCACAAGAAGCAGCCGTGTGTTCTACCTACAATTTGCGCCAGTTACTCATCAACAACTCTTTCCAAACCTACAGTCTCTATCATTTAGAAGGACGAAGGTAATAGATGCAGATCTCAAAGTTTCTGTCCAAGTCACACACCATCGTGACTTGGGAATATCCTTCACTATCACTGGAACTCTACTCCTATCAGCATGACTGCAGTGCTTCAAGAAGGCAGCTTGTCACCATTCTCCTCAGAGCAATTATGGATGGAAAATAAATTTTGGCATTGTCAGCGATGCTTGCAACCCATCAACAAATAAAGTAGAATTGGGGGAACACAAGCAAATTTCCAAAAAGATTGATGTGTTATAATAATTTTCGAAACAATGAAAATTCCTATCCATTTTGACTGATAAAAGTATGGTATGTTTTGGGAAATTGGGAGTGGTGACTGGAATTTTTGTGGTACACACTACAAGTAGTATGAGCATGATATATAATTACTGACATTGAGTTCATGCAGAGGTCCATGTTTAGCGTTGAGAAAATGCCGTTATATTTTCCGTCTCTGTCTTTTATTCCAAACAGTCAGTCGCTATTAGAACCGAGAATCATGTGGATGGGGTATAGACAAAATACTATCATTACTTTTAAGAATTAATTTTCATTTTTAGTATATTCAACATGTGGGAAATTTGAATCTTTGGCCTCATTGACCAACAAAACAGGAATACAATGTCATATATTGCTACGGTAAACCCAAAAAACCATAAAGTACTGTAATAAGATCATGACATAACACATTTGGTGATTTCAGGTCATTACTCATTTATTTTTTATGGAAATAAATGACCAGCAAAAGGCAGAAACTTAATGGATTTTGCAATTTACAAGCAGACTGTTCTATCGAAACTCCAGATAAATAGCGAACTGTTTAAACTGGCTCTCTGTTAGAACTTACTGGAAGTAAAACTTGAATATGCAGCTTTATCATATGGCTAGGAAGGCTGTCGCATACTTTGTTCACAGCTGACCTATTATAGAATCCCTACAGTGTAAAAAGAGGCCATTCGACCCATCAAGCATGCACTGATCCTCCAAAGACCATCCCATCCAGACCCACCCCATTCCCATCTCTGTAATTCCCATGGCTAATCCATCCAACCTGGACACTATGGGCAATTTAGCATGGTCAATCTATCTAGCGTGCACAACCTTAGACTGTGGTAGGAAACTGGAGCATCCAATGGAAACCCACGCAGACACAGGGACAATGTGCAAACTGCATACAAATAGTCACTCAAGTCTGAAGCCAAACTCAGGTTCCTGATGCTAGAAGACAACATTGCTAACCACTGAGCCATCATGCCACCCTAAGTTAGGAGTCAAACTTACAATCCCCTGATTCGTACTCAGATGCATTATCAGTGGCACCATTGGTCCCACACTGCAAAGTCAATTCATTTCATTAGTTACGGCAAGTTCTAGAAAAACTCAACCCAACTGACAGTGGAGAGAGAACAGAGTAGTTTCAAGTAAATATAACCTCTTCTTCAAAATTAAAGAAGGGCAGAAACATGATGGATTTTAATCCATTTCAAAGGGGAATGTGGGATAAAAATGAAGGCCTGGGAGAGGTTAGAGGTTGAGACAGATTTATTGACAAAAATTTCATGGAGCAAAATGTAAAGGAAGCGTTGCCCAAACCAGACAAAGCATTTGTGCAGCATGAGAATAATGAACAGTTCTGAGCAAAAATTAAAAGAAAAGACAAGAAAGCTTCAGATTGGTGAGGAAAACAGGATCTAAATAGAATCAGAATTCAGGGTATGAAATTGTTGCATGGAAGTCTGTAAAATGACTAATTGGAGGATGAAATTCCTCGAATTTGTTTTGAACTACACCCTAACACTTCCCTGACACCAGGTCAAGGACAGAGCATGAGAGCTGAATGAAAAATGATAAGTAACCTGAAGTTTGAGGAAGGGTCATTCGACCCAAAACGTTAACTCTGATTTCTCTCCATGGATGCTGCCAGACCTGCTGAGCTTTTCCAGTATTTTTGGTTTTCCTTATAATTTCCAAAGTCTGCAGTTATTTCATTTTTCAATCTGAAATTTGAGGTCTGGCTTGCAGACAGAGTGGGAGTGTTATGCAAAGCAACCACCCATGTGCAGTTGGTATCTCAGTGTGAAGAAAACCACATTGTGAGCAATGAATACAGTGGACCAGTTTGAATAAAGTACAAGTAAATTTCTGCTTCGCCTGAAATAACTGTTTGGGGCCTTGGACAGTGGGGCGAAGGAGGTAAAAGAGGGTAGGTTGTGATTGCGTGAGAATGTAACATCTGAGGGAGATAAGGTGTTGGGGACCATGAAGGTGCAAACTGGGTGTTGTGGAGATTACGGTCACTTTTGAATGCTAAAAAGGCCTGAGGTGGGAGACAAAATGTGTCCAGTGTGTCAGAAATAAAGGCATTTGGCCCCTTGAATGTAGAAGCTAACAGGGTGACACTGGTTCTGGGTAGAAGGGGAACAGGTGAGAGCATAATTGTGGGCAAAAGTTTCGGACATGTTGAGGGGTCTGTCAACCACGGTGAAGTGGAAACTTTGGTTGAGGATAAAGGAAGAGTTATCAGAAGCAGCAGTCTGTAGGGACAATAGAGGAGACTCCATGCCCCATGTTGTGGGGGGAGGGGTTGGGGGGGAGGAGGTGGTGGGAGTGATGGGGGTTGCAGTGTGGCACTAGGGCATAAAAATGAAGGTCAGAACC